TGGTTTGGTTGTTGTTGTTTTTTGTTTTGGTGGTGGGTGGTGGTTTTTGTGGGGTTTTTTTTTTTTTTTTTTTTTTTTTTTGGTGGTTGGACTCGATGATCTCTGAGGTCCCTTCCAACCACTATGATTCTGTGATTCTGTGAAAAATGTTCTCAGAGATGTAATAAACAATTTACATGATATTTTAATAAAGGAGAAGTGTAACAACTACCAGGAATAGCTGCATTTCTATTAGCTCAATCAATTTGCAGATTCAAAGTTGTTCAGATCTGTTATACTGTTTTGTGATTACTATTTCTGGCAGAATAATCCTTATCAGAGAATTACCTTTATAGCAGAGAAGATATTTTCTGTCAAGAACAGTGATTGTAAATCAAGTTCCATCAAACTTCTATTGCAGTTTTTACATAGACTTTTTGTTTCCATGAAGTCATCCCAGAAGAATCAAACATGAATATTATTGGGTGTTTATGGATATCCATATATTTAGAACAGCAGTGTGAAAACATTTCCCTAAGTATTTTTGTGCTTCTTGGCATGGAAGGCATTTCTTCTCTTCCCTTAAAAGAAATAATAGTAATCAGAAACTTAATAACAATAAAACTTAAAATACAAGTAGAGGCTAAATATTGTAATCTTTTAGTACTAAATGTTAAGATGTTGAAAGTTCTGAAATATTAATGTTTTTCAGACAACAACCAATGAAAAATTATAGTTCATAACATACAGATAACACAAGTGACTCACAAAGTTAATATTGTTCTTTGTTTTACAGTGTTGTCCGCACATTTTCGGGTCTGCGAGCCATATACGGACTACAAAGGTCGCTACCACTTTGGTTTTCACTGCCCCCGTCTTTCTGACAATAAATCTTACATCTTTTGCTGTCACCATAACAACACAGTATTTAAATACTGCTGCAATGAGACAGAATTTCAGACTGTTATGCAGATGAACTTAACAGGAAACGCAGATGGATATATGCATAAGTAAGTACATGAGTTTTAAAGTACTCTTCACCAAACTGGTTTTGGGTCTAACGTAGACTGAGGTGTGCTTAATGATGGAAGCGATTGGAATAATTGCACCCCCAGAAAAACATTACTAGAAGGGTTTTGCTGCTACAGAACTAAAAGAAATTATGTTTTAGCTTTGCTTGCTTTGCTTTGACACGGGCTATCAACATCCCTAGTAGAGTATGTATGTAAAAGTTGCATATAAATGTAATAAATATAAAGTTACATTTTAAAGTTACAAAAGTCTCTAGCCTGACCCCAGTCTGATCCAAACTATGTTTAAATGTGTATCAGTAAAAATAAACTCCTGAGCTGTCTGTAGGGAAGAGAGGGAGTAAGTTGCCATTTTCCGTATCAACCCAAATGCACTATTTTGAATTTCTGATGTCACTGACCTCAAGGAACAGAATGCATTTTCTTGTGTACCAACATTGTGTGGTATCCTGGCCTGTTACCTGGGATACTTCCAGGTACTGCTGGGCCAATCCTCTAAGATAAATTTCAGTAACGTTTTTTTCTAAAGAACCAATAAGTAGCAAATAGATCTTTGTTACTGATTACTTGTTTACCATGGCAAAATCTTCACTTTTGGTCTGTCTCCTGTTTAATATTTGACATTCTGGCCACACTAATCTGCTGTGATTTCTCTTGTTGAAGAATGCAACTTTCGGCTGACGTAAACCCCCAAGGTCAAATTCTGATCTGTCTGCTTTCCCCTGCCATTTTACTCTGGTACTCAGTCCCTCCAGGGCAAGGAAGAGGCAGATAAATACGACTGGAATTCCAGTCTATTGATTTTTGTTTACAATAGGGATTTTAGTGGGGTTTTTTTTCTGCGGTGCAATAGTCAGTCGGTGTGTTGTCGTTCACTCCTATGGAAGCAGGTGCAAGGCTGAGAGGAGGCTACGGTGCTGGAATACTGATGTCAGCTCTTTTAACTGCCCGCAGCTGTGTCCAGCAGCAGCCAGCTCATGGAGTCAGCAAACTCTCATCTTCCTTAACAACCACTCCTCATACAGCTCTGCCTAGAAAAGTGAACCTTGCATAGGTGTAGAAGTTGCATACTCTAACTTTACAGGTGTTAAAGTCTCAATCACCTACTATAAAGATGTGTGCGTACCGCATAGCGTAAAAGAAAGACAAAAATAGACTCTACCTGTATAAGGTACCTTTAAATCAATATGGATCTTTGCAAGAACGTACCACACAGAACACTGCAGAAACACTTGAAATCTGTCAAACAGACCTACTAAAGGGCATCCATTTTCTCCATCTTTTGTGCAGTGTTGACCATCTAGAGACTGGTAGCACCCTCACCTGGGGCTGCCCAACTCTGCTAATATGTATGCCTCCAGGCAACCTGGTGGAATTCATACCACGGAATGCCCCCGTGCAGTGCATACTTTATATTCATGGTAAAAGTAGGATATGCTCCCCCTTTGATTACTGGGATGACTGTGCTAATCGGATGCCTGCCTAACGAGAGGTCCTCACAGAACTCTCAGTACAGAAGGGCCGTGCATGTAGTTGCAGACAGAGCCAGAAACTGCTTCACACTCAGCATGATAAAAAGAGAGTATCAAGCATGGAGTAGTGTGTCTGTTGCCCCCACGCATTCCCAGGTTTTTGTCTTGCATACAGCAAATTTGAAAACCCTGCAAAACGCTGATGAGCACCCAGGTCTGCCTAACAGACAGCTTCATCACAGAGTTTGGGATGTTACTGGCCAGCTGAAGCTCAACCAAGTCCAAAGCCAATGCTTCAGGCTTTTTCCAATATCTCAGCAGCTACTCCATGTAGTTGTGGCCAGAGCTTACTAAGATAAGGCCCTTCTGTTCTTCCTTTCACCAACCACCTGAAATGGAAAGGCCAATCAGCCACTTTCCAAAGCAGACATGCACAAAAGAACAGGTACGGTCTGATTGCAAAATATACCCTGGGATGTAGAACATTTCTCTGCCTCCTACATTCTCTGTTTGCCTGCCCGCTCACGTCTGTACATGTACATGCACACATATCTACAGAAATAAATAGAGGGCTGTTCAGATTATAGGGCTGTTGTGTGTGAGCAGATTCCTCAATGGGAAAACGTTAATTTGGTATTCTATGAACCACAGTATTTATTTTAATGAAAATATTTATAGCATAATGTATTATATTAATTTTCATTTAGCAGTCTTTGTTTTTTTTTAAGTGAGTCACCTCATTCAGTTGTGATGGAGAAAATGCTACCTCTATAGTCTTTTTGGTAAGATTCATGGTGGAGAACTACCTGCAGACTATATGTCTTCAGTCTAGAATTTAGCTACATTCTGATCTTTTGCAAAGATATGTGAAATCATGCTAAATATGATAAAAAGCTTCTGGAGAGAGATGTAGCTTAGAGCAGTGTGAGAGTGGAACCAGTATTGCCTTTTTGTACCTTCCTGAAACATCACTTCTGATAAATCAGTCAGGGCCAGAAAAATGAAGAGACACTTACTTTCTATGTAAAACTCTGCCAGTGTAGTGAGACAGATGGAGGGAGATTTCCTCACCTAGAGCTCACTGAGATAGGCAGAAAACTTCCTGATAATTTTAATATGCTGTGGAAGGGCAAAAAGAAGTGAAGCCTAGATGCCTACATTAAACACATTGTAAAAAGCATCTTTCTTAATACACTCTGACTTTATTTAACATATACAATAATTTAACTTTATTTGGATTAGAATACATCTAGGGTTCACTTTACAGTAACAAAGGCAACTCTTTGTTTAGATCTTATTTCACACACCACTGAAAAAAATTCTGATGAAACCTATTGTACTGTGGCTGGGGAGAATTATTTAGGACATGGGAATGGCAATGAACTGGAAAAAGAGAAGGATTATAGTTTTCAGGGAAGAGTGATTCAATATTATTATTTGGTTTATTTCAATATTATTATTTGGTTTATTTTTCCCCTTGGCTATTCTTGCGATCATCAAAACAAATTTCTTGGTTTATAATACAGTTGAGGGAAAAAATTAATGAAGTGACTTGTAACTCCTTTGTCATGGCACAGCTGAAAAACTACATTTGTCTTATACAGGCACACAATATAACTGTAGCCAGGTTTATTTACATTTTTCCTATTACTGTAACAAAAGATTTCTAGGTTTTTATAAGTGCAGATTACTGGGCTGTTATATCTTTGTGATCATGCGGATTAATCAGACTATAATATTTTTGAATGTGAACAATTCATTTAGTATTAAATATAGAAATACCAATGATGTGTCACAGACAAGAAAAGTTATGCCATCCAAAGTATTTTTCCGTATAACATTGTATAATAAGTTACTTAAGTATTCTTAAAAATAGGGTTCACATGAATCTAGCATTCATACTCTCTGATTTTCTATTGTTCATGTTTTGATGTATTATCAGCAGTACTACTATCCTAGGGGTCTTTAATCTGATACTGGAATAGTGTAATGGCAGTTTGTAATGCATCCATGTTTTTCCTTATCTGTTATTCCAGTTTTTCAAGGTTGAATGGCTTTTGCACACCACACGACAGCATTGCACTGAAAGCAATGTGAGGATAGAATAGCACTATCTTTCTCCATGTACAGCATGTCCCCTGCAGAGTTGGCATTTGCTTAAGTATCTCCCAGAAAGTAATCTTTACAAGAAAGAAGAAAAAAAAAAAAAAATAAATTCTTCTACCAACTGTAGCAAAAAGGTATAATTTAGCTGGGAAGAGCTCTTAGGTAGTACAGGAACTGATTCTGCAGGAAAACACAGGATTGAGGAAAGGCCTTGAGATAACAGTAAAAACAAAATGGGGAGGAAAAAAAATCACATTTAAAGTGTATGTGCAAAAATGGCACAGATTTCCTCAGTGTTCGAAGTATCAGGGCATTTGCTACGGTGTAAGCTTGCATTTCCTTGGGGCAACACCTTACTACTGTAACAGCTCAGTTTAAGGAGAATAGGGAAAGAAACAGTTTCCATGGCCATCTGCCTACATTGAAACTCTGCAACGTAGAATTCTGGTCACAATTGTTTTGATTTGTTGGGTTTTTAATCCTGAATTCCCAAAATGAATTATTTTCTCTTCATGTGCTGCACATAAAAAACAACAAACTCTTCTAAAAAAAAAATATAGCCTGGTCCTGACCTGCTTGTGATCTGTCTCAAAAAGTTAAGGAATTAGATGTAAGCAATCACATGGGTAAGAATAATAATAAAAGAACCTGTCCTTTCATTTATGTGTAGGGATGATAGAGGAAATCCTAAACAGGATTCTGTAGATGGAGTAGAAGGAGATGGATAGTAAAGTAGTAGTTCTCAGCCCAATTCAAGGCTCCCTGAAGTCAGAGCAAACCTGCCATTTACATAAGTGGTCTCTGTATCAAGGCTATACCATATATACATCGTATTTCTTTAAAAGACAAAGTATCTTAAAATAATGAGCTCCTAAGCTTTTTTTTATAGGTCCATGAGTTACCCCATTTCACAGAGGAGCTAAAAGGAAAATGTCTTGTAGCTTTTACTCCGGATTTAGCTCCTGTATTTGTGTGGCAGCAGCAGCAGAGGACTAGCAACATAGCTTTAGAAGTTATTTTAGTGTTATATTGCTAAACCTTGCGTTGAACCTAAACAGAAACCTCCAAAATGACTGACTGGGATGAGCGGCAGCACTAGCAGGGCAGGGCAAGCTTTCCAGCTGGGGAAGGGAAAACAACTTGCTATACTGGATTGTCCCTGTGAAAGAACTAACTCCTAAAATTTGAATCTCAGTAAATGTGGAATCTGTTCACACTTCATTAAATGAAACTTCCACACAAAAGTACAGGAAAATCAGATTGCAAGATGAAATTTTTACAATCAAATCATTCAGTTCAATGAAATGAGAGCAAGTCCTAAGAGTTGTTTGATTCCCAGTTCTTTTCTGTGTCTCTGATCTTACTGTTATACAGTGTAAGAAAGATTGTTTATTTTCTCATTATGGCATCTTCTTAATTTGTAGAGACATTTTAATTTTTACTATAATTAGTAGCCATCAGCAAAATTAACATCTTCTACCATCTTAATAGTTTGAGAAACAGAAAACATCAAAGTATGGAATTTCCCTATGCGTACAAAACATACTACTTATTACTTTGGCTTGGGATTTTTCAGAAGGACCTTTTGATAATGCTGTTGTCCCACTGTCTGTTAATTAAAATAAAGCAGTCTTTCATTTTTGTACTTGTGAGAAACAGATGTTATTTAGAAGGAGCAGATGGATAACTCACATATGGCATGATTAATAAATTGTTGCTTTAAACTGGAGCACTCAAAATAGCTCTAATTTTTGCTAACCAAAATTTTGATGAGTAAAACTAAATACCTAAAATACAAACAAATTCTTTTGAGTTAACCCTAAGAAATGTTCCTGCCTCTCACACTGTTGCCAAAACAAAAATAACATGTTTTCTAATATTTTTATTCTTACTATGGATCAAATGCAGCTCACCTATTCATAAAATGGATACTATTTGCATTAGTGATGAAGAAGAATTGGATTTTTTATAGTGGATTTCTTCCTGACTTCTCCAGCTTTCACTTCTCTTTGATTTATACTAGCAGAAGATAGAAGAGTTTACCCCAATAGGTATAAATCCACTGAAAGTCAAGAATAGCACTGCTGGGAAGCCTGGATTAACCAGATCCTGTTATACTTTCAAGTGCCTGGATTGTAAAGATTTTAATGCATTATAATATATAATACCCACTGTTGTGTGACGTTAGACATGCATGTCTAAGTCTTTAGTAGAGGCAGAGACTCTGGAGTTAAGGGTTTTCAGAAGCACTGTGTTTTGTCTACTCCCAATTTGCCTGGAAATTTCCTGAAAAATTTTTTAAAATCCAAGGCTTACATCATTCTAAACTTATACAGGAATGAGACTCGTTAATAGCTCTGACCTTCCTCCTGTTACTTATGGTTATTTGCTATGGAACCTCATTTAATCTAAGTGTGTTATATCTGTGTAGTGGAAAAATCATTCCCCGGAGAGGAGAATCAGTCTCCTTGAGTGCTGGCTGGCAGCAACACAGAAATTAAAATTCTGATTTCTTGTTTCAAATCCTGATTTTTCTAAAGTATAAAAGGAAAGAGTCATACAAAAGTTCAAATGGAAGTGAAAGTTCAAAGCAGAGAGTTGAAACATTTTAGATCCAAGAAGGTTTGGGACATGCTTTTAAACTGTCAAAATACCTTTTATGGCTTATGTCATTAGTACGTCTTCTCAGCCTTTTTTCTTCTCATAGCACTTCCATTTTGATCAATGTTGGGATAAAGCATATTCCCCCAAAGTTTCTGTGAATATCTGTGAAACAGAGCATGGTTTGAGTGTGTGTTCAATTTTATGCACGTAAGTTCAGGTTCATGTAGATGGGACTTGCTTCTTACTTCAGTGGCGTTTTTCTCCACGACTGTCTTCCTAATGTCATTTTTTTTACTAGTATCCCTTCTGCCTGCTCTTATTTTTGAAGTCTCTGGTACTCATACTGTCACATTAGCTCTTAGGTCTAGATCAGCTGCCTTCGCTGTATTCCTACCAATTTCATTCTTGCCCCGTTCTTTCCTTCTCTGTTCTGACCTCATCCTCCCCACTCACACAGATTGCAATCCAAACTGTATTTGCACCTGACAGTGATTTTTACTTTTAATAATACTGCATCTTCAGCAGAGCTTTAGCACTTCTTCCCCTTCTTGATTTCCAAATTCTTGACCCGTTATACCTTTTCCTCCTTTTTCCCCTCCCCTTTCTTTTAATATCTTTAGTCACCTGTCAGAGCTTTACAGCTCCGTGCACCATGTCAGCAGATGATAATTTTCGTGGCCTTTACCTATATATACACATTATAACTACACTAACATATACGTATAAATGTAGTACATATTTTCCTTCCTGTGGAGTGTATTGTATAATATGATCTTGTCCATGTTCTTCCTTCCTAAATTTATTCCCAGAAAACTAAGGGATCTTTAGCAGTTGCTTTTGAAAGCCTATACTTATACTAGTATCTTCTGTATCTGGTAATAATTAATTCAGAGCAAATCTAAGCACATTAAACACCTTTTAAGGTAAGTAGTTTATAATGCATGTCAACAGTGAATGTTTTCAATACTATAGATACCCCTCGGTCTCAATTATTATAGCATATTTCCGTATGGTTAACCCTCTCTCATAAATGCCCTGTCACTTTCAGTGACTCTCTGGGGGTGAAAATCTGCAGAATAAGACATAATACCCATCAACCCTGTACATATTACTGGTCTCACTTAAAGCATTGAAGCTAATTGTACACCCAATTAATGTGCTGATAAAAATACACAGGTAAGAGGGAGAAATAAAAATGTTCGTAAGATGGGTGGCCTTAATTTTTAAACACCTCTCATGACATGCGTATAGCAGTATTTAGATTGAAAGAAATAAATATTTTTTAATGACACATGCTTTAGAACAAAATTTTTGTTTCATCCATCTATATATTATATTTATATATTTAAAGAAACAAACAACCTGTGACTTGTTATTGATATATGAGAGAACTTTTTTGTTTTCTTTTTTTTTTTTTCTTTCACAGCAACTACAGTGCACTGTTAGGAGTGTGGATCTATGGCTTTTTTGTGGTGATCTTGCTGGTACTGGACCTTTTATATTACTCTTCAATGAACTATGATATTTGCAAATTTTACCTGGCACGGTGGGGAATCCAGGGGAAGTGGATGACACCGGGACAGAGCCGATGGATGAACCCTGCTCAGGACCCAAGCCAAGTACAGACGCAGCCTCAGCCAGAGACGCAGCCTCAAACTCAGCCACAGCCTCAAACATCACAGACAGTACATACTTTAAAAGGAGATGCTTTAAGCCCGCCCCTGATGTCTTTTCAGAGTACATCTGCCTGGTAAGTAAGTTAAGCCATATTGTGATATATTTTTTGACTCTGTTGTTCTCACCTGTATTTGAAAGTGCCTGCAAATTCAGGCTGAATAGCACGATTTCTAGAACATAATTCTTTATATTATTAACTGTCTTACTCTGGAATCTCTTAAGTAATTTTTTAATACTGTTCTCAGAAAAATAGATGCTGCCATTTTTCAGTGCTAAATAGTTGTACTACTCTGTGGTATAAATAAACTTCAAATCTTTGTTCCACATCAACCATTACAAAATTAAGTTTAGTCTCATGCCAAAGACTAATTGCTATGTATATCTATGTATCTGTTGGTCTGGTTTTAAAAGATCATATAAATAGCAGCACTGAAACAGCCTCAATGCGAGATGTCACAAATCCACACTATTTGAGGCATGAGACACAGAAACAACATAAAAAACAGGTTAGGTTTTTTATATGCGGAGCCAAAAAAACATAGCTTGATCTCATTTGACAGTGTGACACAAGTAGGCTACTGTAAATTTAAATGCTACAAAAACAAAACACCACACTCCCCCCACCCCACCCCCCAAAAGAAAAGAAAAATCCAAACCAAAACCAGACCAAATGGGAAACAGATACTTCAGGAAGAGGCAGAACATGCAATATAAATAGAAGAAACTAAACACTGACAGGCATGGGACAAAATGACATTGAATTATTTTGGACTGTTTTTACCAAAGAAAACAGAAACAAAGGAAGAGAACTGAAAAAATTGATGCTCTAAACAAGGTGTCAAGAAAGGAGGGGACTTTTTTTCTGGGCAAGGGAGCATGAAGACTTGGACGGGTACAGAGTCACCAGTGTATTTTAGAAATGTTCCAGAGGGCTGAGTGCTGAGTTCTGGCAAAATAAAGTGATCTAAGAATGAGTAGGGTGAAAAAGATAACAACAGTTCCTGACCCTGTAGAGCATGTAAAGCCAGAACGTTGATCTTGGTCTGAAATCTTTGAGTAGCACTGTGTTGCAGATGAAATGATGATAGCAGTAGTCCTTTTATTTCATAAGTTGTCCTTTAAGTGTAAATCTAGAGCAAATAGGGTTGAAATCTAGAGCAAATAGGTTCTTGTAATAGAAAAGATGTGACTGTTGGAGCCAAGGACAAGGCTCAGTGAAAGAGGAGGTCGTTTGGCACGGTAGCTGGTACTGGTTGTATCCAGTGCAGGTCAGACTTAAGGGGCATTCTAGCAGGCCTTGTACAATTAGAAGAGCAAGAACTACTTAAGATGGAGACTTGCTTGTGCTTAGTTGTAAGCACTCTTCACTTCTTCACTTCCTCTCACTTTTCCTTCTTCTAATTCCTTCAGCTTTTTTGCACGCTGAGTTCCAAGTCTTCAGTCAGAATTGCTATACAGGTTAAGACCAATGTTTGTAGCATTATAATTGTATTGTAGCTTCATATATATGTGCGTACATGTATGTGTATATATAAAAATGTAATGACTACATGAATATATATCTATATAACATAAAAATATTAGCCTGGTTATACCACTTGATAATTCTGCCACACCATTACAAATTTAAGGAAACTATTCAATATATCTTGAAGGATTCTTGGTCACTTTCCGTTACTGACTTTCGTTGTTCTGTTTCTTTGCTTTTTTTGAAGCATTAAGAGGGAAATGTATGTTAGGATCAGGTGAGCATATCCCATATGCTCCTTTTCCTGTGTTCGCAGGAGATGAGCATTGATAAGTCACTCCAGTAACCCTCAACCCTTCCCCAGATAACTGTTTGTCTGTGCTTCTCTTAGTTCTCATAAAATCATTTCTTTTTTCCCTAATCCTGTCATTGCTCAGTGCAAAAATAACTAGATGTTTCCGTAGCAAAACCATAGTTGTCCCTTGTATTTTAGCATGTAAAATGCTACAAGAGATGCCATATTTACAAACTTATAACCTGCAACTTTTGAAATTCGCAACCCCTAAACTAAGTGCATGGATGACTTGGTCTGAATTGGCTACATAAAATTACCAAGAAAAAGGTAGTAGGCTCTGCTGGTCACGGGTGAGGTGTTTAACATATGAAAGAGGTTTTTGAGTATCCAGCTCTCTCAGAAAATGAGAAACTTGGGTACCACAACAATTGTTAAGACAGGAAAAGGAGATCTCCTAGCTGTTTATTTCTCCATTAGATAATCTGCAGGTTATATACCTGAAAATATGGTAATTTTGCCACATAGAAATTAATCTTAGTTTCAGAGTCTGGCTCTGCTGCAGTTTATATTTGATGGATGACCTCAGTACCATCTTCTCAAAATGCAATTGAACTATCAGTGAAGAAGTGCAATGAAGCTACTGGATTTGTCATTTCCATCACTGGTTTTAAAATTGCCTAATCTATGATGACACCCTTTAGATGTTTTGGTAACGGCATTTTTCTAGTCTATAAAACCAACTTTTTAGTTTGTATTGGCTTTTTCAATGTGTCCTAAACTTATCCCAGCTTTTCCCTCCATAGAGAAAATAAGCATTTTTCTTTAGCACCTCACAAACACACTTGTTGGTGGTATCATAACATAAGAACAGTTCCTCTTTACAGACAAGCTTTTTGAAAATACAAAATAGATTTTTTAATCCTGTGAAATACGCATATATTCCAGGCATAAAAAATTAAATGCTGTTAAAAATGTTTCCCAAAAGAGTTTGCAGGTTTTCATGATGACAGGTGTTGAAGTTGTTAGCTTCCTGTACTACATTTATCCTAATACAGTTAAAAACCATGCCCATTCTAGAAGACACTACATGATGATAATTATTAAGTGATTCTTGCACATCAAGAATCTCAGCAGCACTGAAGACTTTAGTTATCCTTATTGCAGAAAACTGACAGCAGGATCAACCAATAGTTTGTTAAGCAATTTGGGATCTTCCTGGATAAAAAAAAAAAAGATATGCAAGTGCTTTTTATTTTATCATTTCTGTTCTTGTTCTAGTTTAAATGCTGTGAATTGGCAATGAAACTGATGACTGAAATGGATATGTCAGAGAGAAAAATCAAGCAAGTCATAGCATATAGTGGGTAGAACCATCCCCAAAATGTTTAAACATTTTGTCAGAGCAGTTCACTTTATTATTTGCTTGAGACAAAGAGGACCATGTATAGCCATAATATTATTATAACTAAAGAAGTCTGGAATCCATTATACATGCTGCTGGCTGCTCTGCAGAGGGCTTGCAGTGTTGTGCAAGGACAGGCAGGAAAATCATTAATCTCTGAAACATCGAGCCCAATTTAGGCTAATGTTGCTTCATGATGTAGTGTATGGATTTTGCGGCCCAACTAATGTTGATTTCTTCTTTAGTATGGAAACCATCTGAGGGCTGTCCAAAGGCCTGTGTGGTCTGAAGGTCCTGGTGGATGTACCTCCCGCAACCCAAACACCGTCACAGACCGCAAGTGAATGAACTTGAAACAGTTGTGGCTTGCCTCAGGGTGGTTCCTCCAGGTCATGGCCGAGGTGCATGAGCTGGACCCTTCCGTGCTCACTGACCCATGTAAAAATCTGCAGTCTGGTTAGCCTGAGCAAGTTTTTAATGGCTGGAAAACAAACAGCAACAAGGAGCAGGCAAATCTTAACTACTGCTCAACAAAGTACAAGCCTGGGAGGTGATAAAATGAAATATTGTAAGTTGAGGAATCAAAATCCTGACTACCGAAAAAAGCTTGTTCTCACAATTACGGGAATATTGTTAATTAATAATGCCTAAAAAAGGTCAGACTAGTAAGGACGATCACATAAAAGGAAGTCTGGGCCAGGGCAGCCTGGCAGAGTTTCTCCAGATTCTTTGTAGCTGTATTCTAGATGTGAGAGGGCAATACATGAACATGATCTCTCTGCCTTGCTGTGGTGATGTTATACTCCTCCCCACCTCCATCGAGGATGCAAATCACAGGGACAGCTATCTTCAAGTCTAACTTTTGCTTCTCTGTTCCCCGCCTCTCTGCACAGCGGCACACAAAGGCGGTGTCTGCTCTGTGTGTGATCATATATGTTATGCTACATGACTCACGCTTTCGGAAACCTGCTGGTTGTCCAGAATTGGGAAAAGCATCAGCCCAGCAGGGTAAGCCTGTGCTTATTTCCTTTATGCAGTTGGAATGGATTAGACGAAGGCAAGTCTATTTTACTTCCCCTTATTAGATGTTGCAGTCTGCTTTTGCTGTGAATTCCTCTGGGTCACATTGTCTTTCAGACAACAAATAGAATAGTTTTTAGCCTGCTGCTATTCACCTGCTACTTGACACCTCTTCAAATGACTACCAAAGCACTTATAAACAAAGAGAGAAAAAAGCCTATAAAAATATTGGTTTAGAAGTTTAGAAGCCAGCAGGTAACTGAGCACGTCCACAGCAACTGTGCAAAAAAACACAGGCAATAAATACTTCGCTGGTGGCTAAAAAGGCTACGTGAAATATCAAATTGATACCAAGTTTTAAACAGGATAGAGACCATCACTGGAGCAAAATATCCACATTCAGTAGGTCCTCTGCTTCAGTAATTTCTAAGAGCTGCACATGCAGTCTTGCCTTTGTCACCTAGACTGGGACATTGGCACTGAAGCGGGTCAGCTGTGCAGCGTGAACGTGGCCAGACATTTACAGTAACAAAGTGAACAAAATCTGCCTGCTTCCATTCTAAGTGTCTTGAAAATAAGAAAGATTCTAAATTTATATATGCAAAGTGCTACATTAAACAGAAATAACGATAATACTATTTTAAAGAGGCAAAATTTTGCATCACAGGGCAAAGCATGGTTTTCATTTCCAGCCCCTACTTAGATTTTTAAATTATACTCAACTAACTATGGAAAACCAGAGCACCAATAGTTTTTTAAAAAAGATGGAAAGCAATTAAATTGAATACTTGTATGTTGCTTTAATAAAAGAGCTCTCTGGGAATTAACATCATCTGGAGAATCTGTCTTGTAACAGACAGTAGGTGTGTTGGGCAACATTATGTGTGC